AACAAACATCAATCAATGTTGGAAGTCCCACATCGGCTAGAGATAAGTTCAATTTATAATATACAAGTGAGGTGCAAACCTCACCTTACAAGTCGGTTTTGTGGGGTTGAGTTAGGCTTAAAACCCACTTTCTAATATGGTATCAGAGTCATGCTTAGAGCCTATCCAAGCAAGTTTTAAGTGGGCATTTTTGTTTCCACCCGTTGTCGAGCCGCTGTCGGACTACCCATTAATTTCTACTATCACGCACGAGATGTCTATACCTTGGTGTGATGGGGTGTGTTGAAAGTCCCACACCAACTAGAGATAAAGCACCTTACAAGCCGATTTTATGGGAGTTGAGTTAGGCTTAAAACTCACTTTCTAATAATCAATTCATTCATTAAGTATGTCTCATGTTTTCAGATGTCTATGTTTGATATTTACACAATTTTATCTCTTGATTTAAGCAACAAAAGATTGTTAAAATTGAGAAAATTAGTAAGAACTTCAATTAAAGAACAAGGTTGAATTATCAAGAAGTGTTATGAAATAACCCCAAAAGCAGAAACTGAAATTCAAAAAATTTACTAATGAACTCACGAGAAAATCAAACTAGAAAGGTTAAGTCTTCCATGCAGAAGACAAGAGAAAGAATTACAAAAGGAGAAATATAAAAATCTAGTGTATGACTAAGAGTTGAGCAAATAGGCGTGAGTGGTGAGGAATGATCACTCTCTTCAACCATCAACTATTTATGTAGCAGGAACAATCCTTACAACTCTAAATTAATAACTATATGATTCTATAGTGACTTTAGTTTCAAACACAAGAAAGTTAAGATTTGATATTCTAAATGTAAGTAAAAATGTAATCATCAAATATCTCTATTTTGCAAGGAAAAACTCTTATGAAATTGAAGAATGATCGAATAGGTAGAAAATTAAACAAAAGAATACATAATTGTAGGTAAAATACAGTGTTCAAGAAATCAAAGAATCAGGAAAAAGAAGAATAAAATTCCCTATATTAACAAATAAAAAAGTAACTTCAATCAAGAAGAGAATTAAAGATGATATAGAGTCTACACGGGATAAATTCTCTAACTCTCAAGTGTTTATATATATATATATATATATATA